CCCTGTGCACGCCCTCACACACCCTGTGCACGCCCTCACACACCCTGCACCCCACTACATACACACTGTGCAGCCCCCCATTCTGTACACACCCCTGTACACACACACACTGCGCACCCACACTGTGCACAGACGCTCACCCTGCGCCCCCTTGTACACACGGTACGCCACAGGCACACACAAACACACACTGCACACAGACACTGAGAAACACCAAGCAAAAAACCTGAACTTAAAACTCGAAAACCAGAAGCATGAAAAATGCTTTTCATCTGGGTTGACCTTATTCCTCTGCTGCTGTTTCGTAGGTAGCACTGGGGAACATATACTAAGTCAATAAGAGCAACTTGCTAAATTGAAAAACATCAATATTTTATCTATTTCTTAGCTGCTCCCCAAGGCTAAAGTGTCTGTGAAAGACTTGCAGTTCAACCCCATCTCACGATTGTAATGTGAGTAGTTATAGTGCTTGTTCTCTGAAAAAAATAAAAAAAAATCCAATAGAGAAAAATATCGTCCTCTAGAAATAGCTTTAGAAGCTACAGGTCTCTCCCCCCGCCCTCCCCTTTGTGTGTGTTGGGGATTAAACTCCACCTGTACTTGGTGGGCAGGTGCTCTACCACTGAGCCACACCGCAGCCCTTGACCTCTCTGCTGTTATGTCGTTGTGGGACTGACCTGCTGCGTGTGGTGCTCTCCCACTTCATTCTGCGTTCTCAGTGTGTTCAAGGACGGAGTGTCATGGCCTCTCCTGACTGCATATCGAATCACACATGTAAAGGAGGAAGTCTTGATAACAAGCGTTTTTAAAATTTAGGAGCTCTGTGAATCTCTTGAAGAAGAGTTTAAAGATGTGGAGCATCTCAAAGAACACATTCCTTCCCATTTGCCTCAAGTGACAGTGGCCCAGAGCCTGTAAGTATACTTTTGCTCATTCCTGCCATCTGGAGGTGTTTGTGGAAACAAATATCGCAGTCATTTTCTGTCATGTACTTGAATTTTTTTTTATTTAAGTGTTTATTCAGTTTCTTCATCCTTGTAGTAGAACCATACTTTCCCCATCTTCCCCAGTTTTCTCATTCTGTGCCTCTGAGGAAAGTTATTCCCCCCCCACATTCTCCCACACACCACTGCAAGGCTCCTATACACTCTCCCCCCTCATGTTTAGCCCTTCAAGCTTTGGCCGGAACATGCTTTGCCGTGAGAAGAGGATGTGTAGTAGCATCACTGATCTTCCACTAGACCCCAGGCTCTTGCCTCCTGGCCAGATTGACAGTGAAGGTTTCTGGACATCACCAAGATTTTGACCTCTGGGTAGTATCTCCATTGACTCTTGGGAACCTGGGTAGCCACTGCCTTTAGGGTAAAAAAAAGCTCAGTGAACCCTGAAAATCAACTAGAGAAGCCATCAGCTTTATACCTGCCATTCTCCCAGAAGTCCTCATGCCTGGCTTTCAGCTGCCACTGCCACTACTCCTCTGAAAATGATGTCTTGAAGGCTGCAGGGAGATGAGTTTTTCCTCCACTGTGTATCTGCTTTCTTTGCTCCTAATGCATTTCCATGCTGCCCTGTGCTTCCTTGGCTGTCATCTTGCATTCCTCAGATGTGGTTCTGCCTTCCCATAAATGAGAGCTTGTGTGCGTCTGCTTGCCTGACCCCAGTTGTCAGTGGGGTCAGTGCTCTGAAGTGTCTAGTTCCAGCTTTGGCATCTAGTTTGGGGGTTCTTATGGTCTGCTGGAAATCTGATGAGGGAGCTGTTTTCTTTCAAACTTTGCAGGTCCAAGGCTGAACTGATTGGCTCTTTTGTTACCCATGTAACAAAACTATAGCTTTTATTGCTTAGGCAGGGCCTTCCTGTCTTCAGTTTCTTGTTCTCTTAGCTATCACCTGTCCAATATGTCTTTCAGGCTTTATGTCTTTTCTTCTTCCTTGTTCCCATTGCCTGGCTCTGAATAAGATCTTCTATCGATTTTGGTCTTTATAATATAAGACTCTCTGTGTTTTGTCCCCTTCCTTCACAGCATTTCTTTGCTCCTATCCTTCCAGACACAAAAATTGTGTTTGAGCAGGTGCTTTCAGTAGGTACAAATGTTCTATGGCTAACTTAATTTTTAGAGTGTTTATATATATGATTATAGTTGTATATGGTGAAAATTGAAAAGTAGTAAGTCAGTTATCCATTTATGTACAAGCTAAATTTAGAATGCGATATTACCAGTACCTTAAACCACTCCTGAGGCAAACTATCCCCGTGCTGCAGGGGTAATCACTGTCTGGCCTTGATCATGTCTAGAATTTTCCTACAAGAACAGGAGAAGGCTGCTAAGGTCATTAGAGAACAGAGGTCTCGTGGTTATTGGTCAGGATCATAGAGTGGGCTGGACACTGGATATCCAGAGGGAGTGGCCAGCATAACTGAACTGCTGTAGCCTGGCCTAAGTTATCCAGGTCAGGTCAAAGCAGAAATGTTAGTTGAAGATTTTTCAGTGAATACAGTCAGCTGGGTATGTGGGAGTTCTCAGGCACATCCTTAGTGCATGCTCAAGAAGAGAAAGTTCAGCAGAGAACCAGGTACAGTTTAATGATGGATGTCCTGTTAGCGTTCACAAAAGTATGGCACCATCACTGTCTTTTTGTTTGTTTGTTTGTTTTTAAATTGTAATTCCTACTATAGTCTTACTATACAGCTAAAGAGTATTCCTGATTTTATTGACAGCTCACAACAACCAGTCATGTTTATTGTGCTCTGGGTCTGGTCCCCAGCTGTTGTCCTTCTGGGGAATGCCTTTGCTTGTGTTTCTGTTGTATCTACAATTTCCTGATCTGGTATCTTTCTTGGAATAGTTCAGCTATTATGGCAGCATATATCTCTTCTATCTTGGCAGCGAAACAACTTAAAAGCTACAGCCTGTTTCTAGGCTCCATTTGCTAGTGAGAAAGGTGTAGACTGAGTTCAAGGGTTACCCATGGTTCTTGCTGGCCAGAATGAATCTTCAATAGGTCATGACTAATAGTAGTAACTAACAGACTACTCTAGGCTACATGGAAGATGACTGATGTTTCCAGCTTCACAGCTAGGGAAATGAAGAGAAGTGGTTTGGAGGCTAATTCAGCTTTACACATGTTGACTTTGAGAAGCAAATAAGAATACTGGTTACTGTGGTGTATATTCTGTGCATAACATGTTTTCGGTATATAAATGAAAACCCATACTCTGAAGACTTAGGAATTTAAGTTTTGAAATTCCTTTTATAATTTTGATCTTCATAACCAAGGGATATGGATACAAAGAAAAAGTTGGCTAAACTTATTAAATTGGGGTATGTCAGACATTTACAGATCTTCCCCCCCCCCCCCCCACGCACCAGCTTGAAGATATCTATTGTGCTTCTCAGTTCTGACAATTACCTGTGTGCATGTTCATCTCTACTCTGTAGAGCTGACAAACCAAATCTGGACCCTAAAGAACCAGTGGAAGTTGAGGAACCTGTACTGGCAAAAAAGCCCCCCAAAGAACAGAGAATTATTAAGGAAATGCAGTTTATAACTACTGACGAGTTTGATGGCGTTCCTGCGTAAGTACTGAGTATAAATTCTAATATTCAATCAAGCTTTATGGTTTAAATAGTCATATATATTGATCAGTCATGGTGTTGAAGTAAAAAGGCTGGGTAGTGTTTGTGACAGGGTCTCACTGTGTAGCCCTGTCTGGTCTGGAGTTCACTGTGTAGACCTTGAACTCACAGAGATTCTCTGTCTCCTGTCCTAAGCCCTGGTATTAAAGGTGTGTGCTACCATGCCCAGCTTGTCGTGTGTCACTTTGTGGCTTGGTGCTTGCCACTTTTCTTGGAGAAAGTCCTGCGTTTTAGGTACATTAACTGTTTGCAGGAATAAAATCATCAAGGGAAGACAGAAGAAATGTAATTATATTATAACCTCAAAGAAAAAGTTTGTATGCTTAAATAACTTTGGTCCCCTAGTCCTAAGTGACATATCTCAATCAAACCCCTCTCCTCAGGGGTCAGGGAACACTGCAGAAGAGGAGGTAGAAAGAGTGGAAGAGCCAGAGGGGATGGAGGGCACCAAGAAAAAAAGGCCCTGTAAGTCAACACGATCAAAGCACATTTGAACTCACAGGCTGAGCGGCATGCATAGGTCTTCACTAGGTCCGCTGCTTCTGTATTATCCAGTTTAGTGTTTTTACAGGATTCCTGAGAGCATGAATGAGTACGTCTCTGGTTTTTGTGCCTTTTCTTTTCCTTTTGTTTGTCTAATTCCAATATACTAGCTTTTGTTTTACCTTATATTTTATCTTAGTTTTAAAAGTAGCAGAAGTAAATCTTTAAATATATTATAAGAATAACTACATACTTTTTTTTTAAATAGGTACATGAAATCCCGTTTAACATATTGTCAAATTAATGATGTTATTAAAGAAATTAACAAGGCAGTAGTTAGTAAATACAAGATTATCTATCAATCAAAAGCATCTATGAGTTCTGCGAAGAGAAATCTCTACCAAAGATTTATTAATGAAGAAACGAAGGACACAAAAGGTAAAGAAATGGACTCTGTGAGGCCATGTCAGCTTGTGGGGTAACAGTGAGAACTAGAGCTAATTCTAGAAACGGCTGCATCTGGGGAGGCTGTCTCCTATGGGTGCTCGGCAGCTCCCCAAGCTTTAGTCCTCACACCACCCAGGGTCTTCAGTGAGGTGATAATGTTGCTGTGGCTTCCCTTTAGTTAACCAGAATGTCTGAAGACGTGAGAGGTCAAGGCATACCAATGGCTGCTCATCGACAGCAGGGCTACCCTGAAGAAATGTAGCAGTGCTGGCTTGCAGCCTCAGTAGATGGAACAGCATTTTAGCAGGGATACCGTTTCTCACTGTGTTTTGTAGATGGATAGGGACAGTAAGAAGGACTCAGCTGTTCACAAGGTGATGCCATAAAAACTTATGTGAGAGTTGGCCTCATGAAAGTTAGAATCTGGTGTTTCTCTTTTTAGGTCGTTTTTTCATCGTGGAAGCTGACATAAAGGACTTTACAGCTTTGAAAGCTGACAAGAGGTTTCATGTGATCTTGAACATTTTGCGGCATTGCCAGAGACTGTCAGAGGTCCGAGGAGGAGGACTTACCCGATACGTCATAACCTGAGGCTTTTGCAGACTCAAGACTGACAGTAGGGTATAGGTGGTGTGGTAGTCTTGAAATTTTATGTTTTTAGCTTCTACATTTCCTGGCCTTGTTTCTAATCGAAATAAAATTTTGTTTGGATAGAGCATATGTATTTTAAAAAATGCCTTTAGGGACGTGGATGAAGCTGGAATCCGCAATAAAGACATTAAGTCAAAGTCAGAAAGACAAATCCTGTCGCATTGTGGAACCCAGACTTAAAATGTATGTGTGTAAGTGTAGGTGGAGATCATGAGACCAGAAGTCTCAGGATCCTGGGAAGTAAGGAGAAGGGAGGAAGAGAGAGAATGATGTGATGGAGAGCAGCAGGAAGGATTATCTGGCAACCAGCCAGGGAGGGGTAGCAAGCTCAGGGAAGGGTAGGGGCTGAATTAGAATAAGCTATAGTGACACACCAGGAATGAACATGTAGTAATGAGTCACTTCTTTAAATTCATTAAGAAGGCACAGCCCTTCAGCAAACACCAAGCACTGCTATGTTGACACTGCACAAGGTGTGCAGTGGAAAGCACGTCTGTTACCTGGACAGTGCTCCAGGTACCATGAGCATAAGTGGGATGTCGGGAAAGACTGAGGATACCCAGGCCCTCTGGTCGTAAAGTCTGATTTCTGTTTTCCCACGAGCGCTTACGGAACAGCTTACCTAAAATGCGTTCAGTACAGGCCAGCCTGTAGGCCTCAACTTATAATAAAGTGTATTGTGATGCTGTGATTTATAGTGTAATAAATATATATCATATCTTTGCTTCTGGTTCCTTGTTCAGAGTTTCTGAAGCCCTTGCAACATCCTAAGTGACAGAGTACATCTTGTGTTAAACCCATTTCTCACTGTAGCTCTCAAGCACTTTGAATGTCTCCTGATCAGAACATCCTTTGTTCTGATTGCAGTGAGGTGATTCTCGGGTGGCTTCAACATGGGAGCTAATGTCTGGAAAGTTGCTATTTCGAGCTGGTCTCCACCCCCACAGAGGGAACTGGGGCTGAAGATTATTGATCACACCGACAAGCTGCATCTGTGTTACATCCTTTATCTGTGAAGTTTGAAGAGCTTCCTGGTTGGAAAACACACTGATGTGTCAGGAAAGTGATGCATCCCAATCAACATGAACAGAAGTTCTATGCCTGCGACCTTTGAGGCAGCCTCTTCATCCAGTACTAATCTTTGTGCTTTATGATACCCTCTTTAATCCGAGTTCAATGCTTTCCTGCATTCTTTAAGTTGTCCTAGCAGAATTATCAAACTCTTAATGAGGGGCTTAGGGCTCTCTAGAGGAATAGAACCAGTGGGATGAAAAATACATATATGGATTTATTAAGTCAGTTTTAAAATAATAACAGCTGAATCATACCGGAGAAGCAGTGAACCTGGTAGTTGTTCAATTCTTAAACCTCGCTTAAACCTCGGTTCCCTGATAATCAGAATGGTCCTACAGTCTCTTGCTGAATGGGCGGCAACAGTATTTACTTAGTCCCCAAGTACAGTCTGCTGGTCTCCACTCCATGATGAACACTGGGAAACGCTAGTGAAGGAAGCCACAGCAGCAACAGGGCAAATCAAGTTGGTGGCAAGAGGGAAGGCCAGCAGATCAAAAGGCAAGATGGTGTTCCGGTTGACATCCCCTTTATTATCTGAACTACAAGCAGAAGGTTCCACTTATAACCAGGATGGACATTCCTACATCAGTCAAGGCAATCAGGACAGTTCTTTAGGTGATTCTAATGTGTGGCACGTTGCCATTAAAGCCAACTATAGTAGGTTATAGGAACTTTGATATGTAGCCAAGTAGGATGGAAGTGTGAGTAGTCTGGGCACCCCCTAGTTGTGATATAATCTGAAGTGGGGCCCTACACTAGGTAGTGTTAGTATTGAATTGTGGGATGCCTGTCCGGTACCCAGATTGTTGGGGAGATGATTCCTTTTGGGGAAAAAGCCTGGCATATTTGGGTTCAGCAGTATGTGGATCTATTAGAGAAGAAAACAGCTTTTCCTAGTGAGATGAAAATGATAACCTGTGAACAAGCTGAAAGGGGTCAGGAGAAAATGCTAATTGGATTGTAAGAATGTTGCTGTGTTCCTCTTCTGCACCTGGGGAGCCTGTCTGATCTATTAATAGCTGTGCCAGCTGCTTGCCAGGCGCATCCCTGTAAGTGGAGAAAAAAACTGTACCATTACTGTAGTGGTCACAGAGTGAATGACCGGCCCTGCATACTCATTATTACCGTCCTCTTTAATTCAGACTCCGGCTTTTTTTATTTTTGTGGTGCTATGGGCCAACCCAGGTCCTTACACAAGAGGCAAGCACTCTGCCAACTGCAAGAAACCCTTGGGCTGTACGTATTTTTGTATCTGTGTTTGTGTTCATTTAGGTATGCAATTGATAAAGTATAAAGATGGTAACGAAGGCATTAATTTTAAAACCAGCACTCCCTTGCTTGACCTTCATTTTCAAGCAAAACAACAGACTACTCTTTGTAAATGGCATCTTTAATTTTAAGGGAAATTTTCATCTTGGCTTTGCCCTCAAGTCCATCCCTTGTCCTTTCTTTGCTGTGTGTCTGCTCATGGTATTCTGTAAACTTTTAAGGAGACACATACAGTCTCTTTACCCCATAGGGCACCGATAATGGACCAGAGTAACCAGTCCATCCAAGTCCAGCGTAGTGAACCAATGGGTTTATTGGGCTTTCTTGTATTTCTGTAGTGGGTGACTACAGAAAAGCTGCAACACTAAATCCTTTCAGCCTAGCATGAGTGCCAACCTCCTGAAAGCTGCATAGATGCAGTCCTTCTTTCAGTGACCTTCCATCCCTTGTGTACCCTAGCACCTACCAATATCATGTGCAGCTGTGGCTGGGGCCAGGAGGGATAAGAGACTGTAATCTTAGCTGAGGGGCTGTTGACCCTGCTCCCACCCCTGGGAGGGAATGGCAACTGGTCTGATCTGAGGAACTTGCACAGTAATCACAGCTGCTCTGATTAAGATGATAATGGCTCAAGCTGTTCTCGAACTCCAGATCCACCTGCCTCTGCCTCCTTCAGCAAATTCTACTGGCCTGCGCCACCAATTAAAAAATGGGGTACAGAGCTAAACAGAATTCTCAATAGAGGAATATTGAATGGCAGAGAAACACTTAAAGAAATGCTCAACGTCCTTAGTCATCAAAGAAATGCAAATCAAAACGACCCTGAGATTTCACCTGACACTCATCAGAATGGTTAAGATCAAAAACTCAAGTGACAACACATGCTGGAGAGGTTGTGAAGAAAGGGGAACCCTCCTCCACTGCTGGTGGGAATGTAAACTTGTACAACCACTTTGGAGACCAATCTGGCGCTTCCTCAAAATCCAGCTATACCACTCCTAGACATATATCCAAAAGACACTCAAGTACACAACAACGACATTTGCTCAACCATATTTGTAGCAGCTTTATTTGTAATAGTCAGAAGCTGGAAACAGCCCAGATGCCCCTCAGTTGAGGAATGGATACAGAAATTGTGGTACATCTATACAATGGAATATTACTCAGCAATAAAAAACAAGGAAATCGTGAAATTTGCAGGCAAATGGTGAGAACTGGAAAAGATCATCCTGAGTGAGTTATCCCAGAAGCAGAAAGACACACAGGGTATATACTCACTCATAAGTGGATATTAGACATATAATATAGGATAATCATCCTAAAATCTGTACACCTAAGAAAGCTAATCAAGAAGGAGGACTCTGGCTAAGATGTTCAATCCCCATTCAGAAGGGTAAAGAGGATGGACATTGGAGGAGGGAGAAAACAGGGAACAGGACAGGAGCCTACCACAGAGGGCCTCTGAAAGGCTCTACCCTGCAAGGTATCGAGGCAGATGCTGAGACTCATAGGCAAACATTGGGCAGAGTACAGGGAATCTTATGGAAGAAGCAGGAGATAGTAAAACCTGGAGAGGACAGGAGCTCCACAAGGAGAGCAACAGAACCAAAACGTCTGGGCACAGGGGTCTTTTCTGAGACTGATACTCCAGCCAAGGACTGCTCATGGAAATAACTTAGAACTCCTGCACAGAGGTAGCCCATGGCAGTTCAGTGTCCAAGTGGGTTCCATAGTAATGGGAACAGGGACTGTCTGTGATATGAACTCAGTGGCTGGCTCTTTGATCACCTCCACCTGAGGGGGGAGCAACCTTACCAGGCCACAGAGGAATAAAATGCACCCACTTCTGATGAGACCTGATAGACTAGGATCAGAGGGAAGGGGAGGAGGATCTTCCTTATCAGTGGACTGGGGGAGGGGCACAGGTGAGGAAGAGGGAAGGAGGATTGGGAGGTGAGGAAGAGGGAAGGAGGGTTGGATTGGGAGGTGAGGAGGGAGAGAGCTACGTGGGGTACAAAGTAAATAAACTGTAATTAATAAAAATAATTAATAAAACCAATTTTAAATTAAAAAAAGATGATAATGGCTATATCATGGCAGGAGAGCTGAGCTCTACAGCACACAGGAATATATCCCTATGAGCTTGTTCTGGTAGCACTCTGCAGAGCCTGGGGTCTGGTTTACTCACTCTCTTAGATTTTCTGTTGCTGCAACGAAACATGACCAAAAAGCAAGTTGAGGAGGAAAGGGATTATTCTGCGTACATTTCTGCACTGTTCGTCAGCAAAGGCAGTCAGGACAGGAGCTCAACCAGGGCAGGGTCCTGGAGCAGGAGCCGATGCAGAGGCCGTGAGGGGTGCCGCTACTGCTTTCTCCTCATGGTTTGCTCAACTGAGGACACCAGCCCAGGGATGCTACCACCCACAATGAGCTGGGCCCTCCCTCATTAGCCACTAATTAACGAAGTGCCTTCAAGCTGGATCTTACGGAGACATTTTTTGTCAATTGAAGTTCCCTCCTTTCAGATAAGGAGTCAAGTTTACATAAGACTAGCTAGCACACTCATCTCCACAACCAAAAAGATTGGTGGTGGGCATCCAGAACTTCCGAGTCGCATCGTGTTAGTTGTGAGATAGTCATATTTATGTGATGTTAACCGAAAAGGCAAGAGGGGAACCACACAAATTGATTTGAGGGTCTGGCAAGATGGCTTAATGGGTAAAGGAGCTTGCTGCCAAGTCTGAACTTGGGCTTCTTCAGCATGAACACAGTGGAAGGAGAGAACCGACTCCAACCAGGTGTCCTCTG